ACGACCGTACTTACAGAATCCGTATTGCAAGTCGGTATCCATAGTGACCGACAATGATCGATCTTTATTTTTGCAGTAGTACTTGGGGGCCAGGTTGCTCACGCGTTCGTATGCTTCTACCCAGAACTCTTTGCCTGAAGGGAACTCGTACAGCCAATCCCAGTTGACCCGACGATAGTCAGTCGTAAACGGTACACCGAACGTGTCGTTCGTATAGCACACAAGGGCGACGAATGCGGTCGGCGTCACAAACGGAATTGGCTGGTTGAACATGTCTCGAAACGATATCTGCGCATACAGCTCCATATCGGGCCGGACGCTGCTATTGCCGGTGCTTTTCAGCTGTTCTCGGAAGTCGTCCATGCTGTAGTAATCTGGAAAATAAATCACTGGTATGCAGCTAACCTACGTTTCAAGTTCGAAGAGGGTATTCCTTACTGAGGAAAAACATTAAGAATAGGACGAGAAAATTTGCTCGCTTGGGCAAAAGGGCTTGTTAACCGTACACAGCAACATGTCCGTACAATGTAATACAAAATGCAATAATAAACCACCTCAATATCTGCGACTGCATGCTCTGACCAAGGATACGTTTCCGCTCATCCGAATGAAGTATTAACCTGATGTAAACCTCCCTTGTTGCTGGAATGGCACTGACTTCGCCTCTGGTATCTCAACACAAAAAGACTCCTCATTTGAATGTGACATGTAAGAAATGGTTGTCAACTCAGCTGTAGCCGGTCCCAAGACCGGATGAGAAAGAAGGAGAGTTGGAGACCGTGGTATTTCCCCCGTTAAACTTAGTCATCTGCCATCATGGCATTGCCGTCATCGAACATTATACCGGATCGGTCGTCTTCCAAGTTACCAAGGGCAACGTAGGTTATTGCAGGGCTGTGGTAGGCTGTGAAAAGTCGGCGATCAAAACCTGCTCACCACTTTCTTGCAGTCAAGGGCACAGCAGCAGGACAACATGACGTTTTCACTCAAAATCTACAAAACGACGACGAAGATACCAATCAGCAGTCGTTTCGCTACCCATTCTGAATGCAGAAGGCAGACAGCTCGATTTTTCTTCAGATCAGACTCCACAGGAAGGATGCAGACAGTGGAAGCTGACAGTCAAAAAATAAAACATATCCTCACTCAGAGGGAAAGAGCAGGAACTAGCTGACGTGGCCGTTACGTACCAACTCGGTATCTGGACTCTCGTCAGCGAAACACCACGGCTTTCGTTGTTCCATCGTCATCTTCTTTATCCATAACCGTTTCTCCTTTCGCGTCAAGGAGGCAGGCGCATCAGACAGTGCTTCCAACGGTCGCGATCGTGCACCCAGAGCTCCGGCAGAAAACAACTGAAGTATAAAACAGGGTCTTTCCACATATTTTTCCCAGGTTAATCTTGACCGTCCCCTGGGCCTTCTGCCGGTCAGATTTGCAAGCAACAGTTGCTTAGCCTTCCTTTCTGGAGGCATTCGCAACACATGCCAAAATCAACGCAGTTGTGACTTCTCAATCTCAAGAAGCAGAGGCGGCACACCAAGGCTCTCCCGGATGCTACTACTCTGGACCATGTCGAGACACGTAAGACCAACGATTCATCTCAGAAAGCCCATTAAAGCGGTTTATAATCGGGTTAGAGCCTTCCAATCATCGTCCACAACTCATGACCTTAGGTAAGCATGGGTATAAAGTTCGACTTCAATATCAAATGCTCAGTTTTCAAACTGAGTTTTAGTCACAATCGAACGGGCAAGTTCACGCAGAACGCCACTGGCTACACCAATTCGCCGGTCGACTTCTTCCTCCTAGTAAATATAGTTCCGAGGTACTTGAACTTCTCCACCTGCTCCACTGCCTCTACGTTAATCTGAAGAGGGCAACGGGCAGGAGAACGAGAAAGCACTAGGCTTTTCGTTGTAGATGCGTTCACACACATGCCGGCGACGTCGCACTCGGCTGCGAACCTTCCTAAGGAGCACTGGAGATCAGTTTCGGAAGATGCTAATAAAACAA